TTGACCTGCTTCAGCTTTTCTGTGATGTAATTCTTGTTCAGTTTTAATTTTTTTAACCTCAGTTTCATCATTGTGTAACTTAGCATTTTCTAAAGCTACTGAAAACTTATCGCATGCTTGACATGTATCCATTTTCGGAGTTTTGAAACTTATATTATATTCTTCAGTAAATATTCTTCTGAATTTATCTGCAGAAACTGGAGTTATCTTTTTCAAAATGCATTCTCCTACATATTTCTCATAACAAGTCTGAATAGAATATTCCATACTCATATATTGTCTAGAACTGTCAGCACGGGTGTAATGGCTTTTGTACTTAGGTAAGCTTTCAATAAAAGATTTCAGAAAATCTATATCAGAATTGGAATATTTTTTAGGATGATTTGAATGTCGACCTCTTAGATCTGATTTTGGAGTATTTGATCCAGTTTTTAATTGTTTTACTAGATTTTCAACTCGACCTCGATTTTTCTGTAAGCCATGGATACTTAGGAAAGCCATTTTGCATATCTTAACATCTTTCCCTTGTGATTTTAATTTATATTCAATAGTTTGAGATCTTTTTGACACTAGTGCTTTAGTTTTCTTCCTAGTCACATTTTTAGATCTCATACAACCTTGTAAGTAAGCATTTTGTGTATCAAAACTGTTCATGCCCCAAAAATTAACAAAAATTGTCTGTAGTTCTTCATGAGAAGCAAATAACTCATAGCATTTATTGGGGCAACTACACGGTGGACCTTGTGTTTTTGATAAAACAATATTTCCCTTACCTCTGTATTGTTTATATTCTTTTCCGCGATTTCTGAGCTCTTTTGTTTTTAATTGCTTACTTAAATTGCGTTTCCTTTTTCTAGATTTTGTGTCTGAAACAGAATATTCTTTTTCTTGTTTACTGTGTTCATTTAATTCTCCTCTATTTTCTTTTTCTTCCTCCTCTTCTTCTTCAGTACTGGACTCTGGGTATGTGTGAGAAGAAATTTCTTGAAGTCCATGTTCTTTCAAAAGTTTTCTAAAACATAAATAAAAATAATATTAAGTATTATAGTGCTGCAGAGAATTCATTTTCATATTTGCAAGTAAAAAATGTTAAGTTTTTATGCAAAGTGAATGTGGATGTAAACAATGTTAAGTACATCCTTTACCATTTTTTACTTGCAAACAATGATTCTAAGAATATAAATAAATTACCTTCTTTGTAGAAAGTTAATCGAGCTAGCTTCACTAAATATTTGAAATTCAGGATCTTTATCTGAGTCGTAATCATCATAGCTCTCAGAATTGTCACTATTAACATCAAAAAAGTCATTTAGATTTGAACAACCTGCTTTGTATTCCGCCATCATGGACACATAACATTATTTTCATGCTTATGCATGTCCCTTACCAAATTTTAAGAAATTAATCTGACGCCACCTATTATTCGGAGGATAAAATAAGTCAAGTTTTCTGCGTTGCCATGTCCCTTGCCATCTTTTACATAATATTTCGGGAAAAATCAAAATTTGTCCGTTACCATTATTTACTGCCGAGCCCCTCAATTAGTGATTATATTACATTCCACACAAATTGAATTAACCTTTGTGATATGCACAGGATTCTCAGCTACGTGAGTCTTTAAAGGTGAGAGTCGTTTTGATGTAAATCCCAATAAGGAAGCAATGGTATTTGGTTTTTCAAAATGGATTACTTTGTTGCTTTTTATTTCACATTTGAGCGTATTGTTATTAATTCTCATTATTAGACTTGTAGGTTGATCCATATTATGCTGTTTTTTAACTTTTGCGTTTCCTGCTTGAGTAACTAAATGTTGCTTCTGTCCTTTTGTATTTTTATCAATGTCTGTCTCATCTTTTTCAGGTGTTTGATCTAATTTTAATTCCAACTCGGTTATTTTTTCAGTTAAATAATTTGAAAGATCATCAACTTCATATGAACCATGTGGAATCGTTATATCGTACCCATTTATATAAAATTTGTTATTTGTTTGGTCTACATTTGGAATTGACATAAAATCTATTAAACCTAGTACATACTGTTCATTTTCATTTAAAATAATTGGTGGGTAAATTTTGGTTGATAACACTGATTCTCTTCCAGATAACACAAAAGTGTACGACATGTTCGAACGATAATAATAGAAGAAATAAAAGAATATTCTTTTAAAACGAGTATTTATTTAAAAAATCTAAACACAATTGTCCACAATTTACAGTGTTATAAGTTTGATCAATTTTATGATTATATACAATTTGACAATAGCCGTTTGAATTAAAGTATGATATAATTTCCAACAGTGGTCTCAGATTGCCAAAACTATCAAAGTACACAACTTTGGATTTATTCTTCTTGTAGGCTGTCCAATGTTTTCCAGGTCCGTCTTTATTGTCTAAATTAATAATTCCACTCTCATGTTGCCAAAGTTTTTTCGGAAAATTATTTCTCATAAATACAGCTCTGAAATGGGGGATTTTCAATAATTTTGCATATTTTTGTAAATCTACATTTGTCAAGGCATGTTTTGGAATCTTTATTTCATTTATTTTTTCATTCATAAAAAAATACCCATTCCTCTTTTGTATGGTTTCAAGTACAAACCATGTCCAATTGCCAATGCTTCCATTTTATGATTATGACGTTGTTTTTCGAGTAAATCTTCTTTAGCTGCTTTTGCGTCGTTAATTGTCTTTACAATGGCTGAGGTACCCCCTGCGATTGTCCCGAGGGCGCTCAACCCTACAACTATAGGTATTAGGGGTAATATACCCCCAGTTTTTGGAACTTGGATTACTCGACCACTTGGTTTTTTAATTTTCTTGTAATTCTTAACGATTCGTAATGCTTGTTGAATAGCTTCCTTTAAATTTTTTGGTTTGATTTCCAACAGTTTCTTCCTAATGTCTCTAATTACTCTCTGTAAACTAAAAGACTTTTGCTTTGAATTTTTTTTTTTTGGAACCTTTTGTTTTAGAGGAGGATGAAGTAACCTTTGTTTTGGTGGTCTTTCTGGTCTTTTTCTTATTACCAACCATCTTGATTGCTTTTAATCAACTACACACAATACACACAACAACAAGTCCTTTATCTAATTAAATAACACATCAGTAGAATATACAAAATTTATTAATAATTAATAACATAAACAATTTTAAAATTACTGTCTTATAATGTCTTCGATTGGAAATGGTAGGTGCTGTCTCCTTCTCACTGGGTAATCAGCATCTCTGTGGCTCTATATGGTGAAGCCTCCCTAGTTATTCTGCTTGAAAGCCCTCATCTCTTTGTCGATACCTACTGAATTCTTTCGTGAAGAGTCTTGTCCTGGCATTTTCTCTTTGCTTATTATGGAATTCAACAACACCACTCTTAACTTCCATTTCACTATGTTTACTTTTACTGATGGTTCATTAACAACGTCACAGATCAGACTGACTTAGTTATTGGTGTATGTGTGTGTACTATGTATATATATATATATATATATATATATATATATATATATATATATATATATTGTTATCACAATAAAAAACACCTTGTTTTGTGGCAAAGATTAACCCTAGATTAGTCTGACATAGATAAAGAAACAAGAATATACATGTTTTTTTTATTATATTTTTTAATTTAATACAATTTATATCTTAACTTTTTTCTTATCTGGATAATCATCATCCCCATCTTTATTGGTCCGTTTTCTTTTTTGAGTATTTTTGTTTAATGAGTCATTTAAGTTGATTTTTGTTTTTTTTTACATCAACTAAATTGTCATCAATTATTTTTCGTTTTTCGCTTCTTTTGGATAGACGGTCATCATTATCAACAACAAAATCATCAGTAATATCCACATCCATATTATGTTCTAATTTTTTGCCCTTTTATGATTTAAAAGCTTTTGTTGTATTTTTTGTTTATTTTTTACATTTTGTTTGCGTTTTTTTGATTTGGATATAGATAATCCTTGGAGTAATAAAGTACAGTGGTCTATATTTTCATTTAGTTTGTCTAAATTATTTTTAGCTTTGTCATTTCTTTACTACAACTGTTTGTTACAGATTTATAATTAGTAGAATCTAGACCCATACCTAATTTCACTTTTGCTTTCATTGCACCAGCTTCACCAAGTGTCGCCAACTTTTCTGAAAATGCTGTGTTTTTTGATCGAAACTGTTCAAAAGCTTTTTCAGCTAGAATCTTATCAGCCTTATGTCGTTCAGATAGATCTTTATTTTGAGAATATGCAATACATGTTCACGACACGCCTCATCTAATCCATTTATTCCCCTATCTCCTCGTGCTAGCCGTTTCTGTAATTTGGTACTGGGTCCACAAAATCTAAAACACCCAGGGATGTGCATTTCAAACGGTAATTTATTAATGGCAGCGTTTAACATATTGATAACGTACTCGTACACTGTAGACAAAGTAATAAATACTTATTCTATATATAAGTCTTTATATATTTTTCTCCTCAGACAACTGACCTCACATTTCACCAAACATACTACTTGGTATATTTTTAGCACCAGATCTGGATTTCAAATATTCAATGTATTCACAGTTTATACAATTTCTATTAGGTATTTCAGTCTCCCCACCACACTTTGGACGTTTATACTTTATTGGTACAGGCATATTATTTTTGGAAAAATAGATGACTTGGGATATTTTTGTCCCCACCGAATTGTCGAAATATACTTTTTAGGTAACAATTTGCACAGAGTGTATTTGGAGTGTCAGTTTCACCACCACACTTTGGACATTTATCTTTCACAGGTACAGGCATATTCAAAGGGAAAAGTATAAATGAACTTTATGATATATTTACAGCTACTTTATATATATTTTTAATACAATTACGTTATTTTTGTGGTCTCTGCCTTATTACATACATTCTACTTGGTATATTTTTAGCACCACTCTCTTCCTTGTACACCTCTTCCAATTCACAATTTATACACAAGTCATTTCGTTCTTCAGTGTCACCACCACACTTTGGACATTTATGCTTCACAGGAGCAGGCATATTTATTTTTCTCACTCACACTTTCTTTCTTGTTGTTGTTGTTGATTCTCAGAAAAATAGGATAAACTCTTTGTACAAAGGCACAATCAGGACTATATTTGTTATGATCTTCTATTACATTATCATTTATTTCCCATTTGTAAATCTCTACACCACACTTGAAACACTTTACTAAATCATCCACATGGAGAAAGTAGAATCCGCAGGCAGCTAACTCTATTTCAGATTTCTTCCCCTTCCAGTTGTTAAAAGTTGAGAGCCTTGAATAGAAATCGTCTAGCTTTAGCATGTACACCTCAAGACACATCTTGAAATACTGACTACCAAAATTTTGGTGGCTACATTTATTCAAATTTTGGTGGATTTTTTTAAATAATACATCTTATCAGTAGTTATATTTCTAAAAACTTCTAAAAACACCTATATGTAAACATGTAGAGATAAAGTAATCCAAGATGTTATTACAACACTTCGAAAATATGTATACCTATATGGAACCTCTAGGATTACAATTTCTACAAGTTTTAAGACTACAAACGCAATTGAATAGGCTAGGCTAGTCAAGGCTAGGCTAGACCGATACGTCTACACAAGTCTGTACACAAACAATTTATTTTTTGAGACTCACCAACACTTAGACAATCTCTCAGTACAAATATTAGATCACCCTGTACAAATTTATCGAAAAGAAGAGGAGATCTAAAGATTAGCGATGAGTTTTACACTTCACATACAAGGTGGTCTACTGTCATTGTAGACCGCTTCTTTTACTTCTTTAGGACAGGTAAGACAAAGAAGAGACAGGTCAGACAGGTGAAAAATATACAGGTGACACTTCTTCGGCCGAGAAGAAGAGATCTAGAGATAAGCTACCAATTTTTACAACCCTCTGGTCATTGACGATCACTTCTTGTACTGCTTGTACACCCCCAAGGTCAAAGAAGGCTTGTATCGTCCTCAGCATCTGAGACCCTGATGGACAGGTTACCAAAGTGGGTTTGAACCCCGCTTGCTATACTACTAGTCATGTTTAGTAAAAACAAAATTATAAAGTTTAAAAATGTTGTTAACAAAGAAGTAGTTCCGTTTGTCTTATATGCAGATTTTGAATCAATATTAAAACCTCTAAGAGAATTAGAAACGTTGGAAAATAGACAACGTTATCAACAACATGTACCATTTTCTGCAGGTTACTATTTGAAATGTTTCCATGATAATTCTTTTACATATTACAATTCTTTTCGTGGACTTGACTGTATGACTTGATTTGCTAATGAGCTAGATAAAATCGCAACGGTTATTTCATCTAAGCTAAAATTTGTCGAACCATTAAACGTAAAAGTAGATTTGAAAAATGCAACAAAAAAAAGTTGACATATTTGTGAAAAGGATTTTACTTCAACGGATATGATTGTTAGAGATCATTCGCATCTTACAGGTGATTTTAGAGGTTACGGTACTGGTATTACAAAACTCGTTTGTAATACCAGTTCTAATTCATAATTTAATGGGATACGATTCGCACCTATTAATTAGGGATTTAGCAAAATTATATTCTATAACAGTAATTCCGTTAAACAAAGAGAAATATATCAGTTTTACACCAGAAAACCAAAATAAAATTTCGATTCTTAGATTCCTTTCGATTTATGGGATTTTCCTTAGAAAAAATGTTATCATTTTTAAATTAAGACCAATTAAAAAATTTAAAAGCAGAGTTTAAGAACGTTTCTTTGGATAACTTTGAATTTTTAACACGAAAAGGAATTTTTTGTTATGATTATATAGACAATATAGAACGACTTAATAAAACCCAGCTACCTAGCAAATTACATTTTTATAAAAAATTTAATGATGAGAACATTAGCGAGGAAGATTATGCTCACGCTCAAAAAGTTTGGAAAAATTTTAATATAACGAACTTGGGATCTTACAGCGATCTCTATTTAAAACTGATATAATACTATTGACAGATTGTTTTGAAAACTTTCGAGAAATGTGTAATCTTACGTATAATTTAGATCCTGCACATTATTTTACACTACCTGGTTACACATGGGATTGTATGTTAAAATATACAAAATGTCAATTGGAAACTCTACAAGATGTAGATATGTTGTTTTTTGAAAGTTCTATTCGTGGAGGAGTTAGTCAATGTAGTAATAGGTTTTCTGAAGCTAACAATAAATATATGAATGAATATGATCCTTCTAAAGATTCAAAATATGTATTATATCTTGATGTAAATAATTTATACGGTTGGGCTCAAAGTCAGTATTTACCTTACGGAAATTTTATTTGGATTGATGATCCTAAAAAACTTGACGTAACATCTATACCAAGTGATTCTTCAACTGGATACATACTAGAAGTTGATTTAAGCTATCCCGTTGAACTACACGATTTGCATAAAGATTTACCATTTTGTGCAGAATTTTTTAGATGATAGAACTTTTAAAGTTATTTTAAACGGAAAGCTGTCATCTACTCGTATTCAACATAACGGAGTACCACAAGGTTCTGTTATAAGCACAACTCTATTTAGTTTGGCATTTAATGATGTAGGCAAAAGTGTTCATCTTCCAGTTAAATACGCATTATACGCTGATGACCTTATACTCTTTTGCAGAGGAAAGAATACCGAAACAACCTGTCGACTAATGCAAACAGCCATTGATAATATAGAAGGGTGGTCGAGGAATATTGGGCTTTCCTTCTCATCACAAAAAACTAAAATCATGAAATTTAGCAGAAAAACGACAAAATATAATCCAATTTTGACTTACAACGGAGTATTACTAAATGTTATTGATCATCATAAAGTCTTAGGACTGACCTTTGACTCCAGACTTAGGAATACACACATACAGGAAACGAAAGGTAACTGCTTAAAAAATATTAATATCCTAAAAAGTTTAGCACATTTTCAATGGGGAGCCGACGAAGAGGTATTGCTCACAGTTTACAGATCCATTATTCGCTCCAAAATAGATTATGGTAGTTTTGTCTATATGTCTGCCTCAAAGTCACATCTGAAAGCTCTTGACTCCGTACACAATACGGGTCTTAGGATCTGCTTAGGTGCCTTCAGATCTAGCCCAGCTCAAAGTATGTACTGTGAAGCTAACGAACCACCACTCTGGTTAAGGAGACAACATCTTCTTTTGTCATATGCAGCTAGCTTATCAGCCACTCCACAAAATCCAGTCTATCAACTACTTATACAACCAAATAATCTCATTCATCATTCTCAGACCATTAGAGCTGCACAACTCCTCTCTGATATACTAAATTCTATTCTCGACGGTTTTGATCTTTCTGCAACTTCACCCTTTCATATCTCTACACATCCTCCGTGGCATAAGCAACTTCCGAATGTCAACACCTCTCTTTACTCTTTCAATAAACATGATACTCCTAAATCTATAATTAAACAATTGTTCCTAGACATACTTAATCGAAATCAGTTTCATAAAGTTCTTTATACAGATGCCTCTAAAAATCATGTAGGGGTGGGTAGTGTTGTTGTTTCCTCTTTTAGCACTACAAAACTAATCAAACTTCCTGCCGTTTGTAGTATATACACTGCAGAACTATACGGTATCGTCGAGGCTTTTCGTATGTTGGAACCAACTGACCGCAATGTAGCGATTTGCACAGACTCCTTATCATCAATACAAGTTATTAAAAACATGTTCTCAGATCATCTTCTGGTAAATTTAATACATGACATATACAATAATCTTAAGGATCATGGAGTAATTGTCACTATGGTCTGGGTTCCTTCACATGTAGGAGTTGTAGGAAATGAGGCTGCAGATGTAGCCGCAAAAGAAGCTTCTACTTTGGATATACCTATATCAAATATCCAGTTGCATAATGATATTAAAAAAATGTTTAAAAAGCGTATATATGACAAATGGCAAGCTAATTGGAACACAACTTCGAGTCATTTACACGATATACAACCAGTTATACCTTCCTTAGAGCTACCATCTATGCCCAGAAGACACAAAGTTATTCTAAGAAGATTAAGACTTGGACACACTCGTCTTACACATGGCTTTTTAATGGCATCTACCGATCCACCTGTATGCGGCCATTGCAGCAGTCCCTTAACAGTCAGACATTTCCTTAAAGAATGTCCGATTCTTTCTGCTAAAAGAAAACAATACCAATTGGGAGATAATATTAATAAAATATTGAGTGAAACTGAGAAATTTGAAAACTTGTTTAAATATTTAAAAGAGATTCAAGTGCTTAGTAACCTCTAAATTGTAATAATTATGTGTAACGGTTAAATTTGTAATTTATGTGTCTTTTTGTACTATGTATTGTCAAATGTAAAACTGTATATACCTTATATTGTATTCTACTGTCATCGTGTCAATGACCTCGAGACACGTTAATTAAAATAAAAAAAAATTGCATTTCCTATAAATGCACCTAGTTGTGTAACTATGTATATAACGATTAGAGAGTAGTTGTTTAATTTTTAAAAAATCAGAAAGTGAACGTAAGAATTTTTATTTGAAGTGCTATTTAAGGCTGTAAATTTTAGTGAAGAAAATAGTTACAGTCTGAAGTCTGAACAATAAACAAAACAGTTATTTAGTTAGTTAGTTAGTCGTGTTGGTGCTAATATATATATATATATATATATATATATATATATATATATATATATATATATATATATATATATATATAAAAATAAAATCCATTATCACTTGTTAAATATTAATTTACTACCTCTTAACAGACCTTGCTCTTTTTCTACGGGTCTGATCTTTTCTGATTCATTTTTTTTGCAGAGAAAACTTTAGCTTTTCTTTGGTTTCTTGTTCTCTTTTACATTCCTTTACAGGCTGTTATATAATTTTACCTGATTGTTGATTATACTTAATTCGTTTCTATTCTCTATTTTTGTTTTAGTTAGTAATCTTAATTTTATTGAGATCTTCTCTAACATAATCCTCCAATCTGCATTTTGATCTTGCTCTAGGTATTTTATTTGTATGTTTTCACTTAAATATTTTCTTTCTTAGCATTAACATATCTTCTTTTCCTCATAGTAGATGCCTAAGCTATGTCAGCCTTTGAACCTTTATATGTCTGACTATATTTTCTCCATTCATCTTAATATTGACCTCATTGTTAAATAATCATTTAAACTTCAGTGTTTTATTTTCTTTTTTTTTAGTTTAGACAGATTGTCTCTACTAAGTAGGTTAGACTTTATTTGCATGATTTCATTCATTTTGATGTTTTGTTGATATATATCTACCTTTTCGTCTAATAGTTTTT